TTTTTTTTTTTTTTTTTTTTTTTTTTTTTTTTTTTTTTTTTTTTTTTGCTCAATTGTGATTCTATAAATTAGGTTGTTGGATAATTAGACAACAAGCATGTAGCATTGCTTACTGTGATTCTAAAATTTGATTATTGTTGAAATTTTGTTTTCATTGGACAGTAAACATGTAGCATTGCTAATGTGATTCTAAAATTAGATTTTTGCTCAATACATGATCTGCTCATTTTTTGCATACATTAGGGCAAAATACCATACATGACCTGCTCATTTTTTTAAACAGAAATCAGAAAACCAGAAACAACCCTTTTGGCATACAATAGGGCAAATACCACATGATCTGCTCATTTTTAAACATCAACACCAACCATGAGATTACAAGTAGTAGCACTAAAATGTTGTTCTTCTTATTGAGTTGGCTATTGTCTTTTTCTAGCTTCTTCACCTTCTTCATTTTTTTTTTGTCATTCGCTTCAAGAGTAGTTGCACTTTCAGCGTGTAGCCGGTTGGTTTCATCTTTTAGGCGATTTGTTTTACGCAACAAACCAGGTATTATTTTCTTTGATCTTGCACACATCGGAGGGCCGAACCACTTCCAAAATTTGCAAGCATTTTGACCGCACTCCAGGTACCTCCTTCCAGGATTGGCTGGCGTCCACGAAGTTTTCAATCGAGCAGACGTACGACAATAACAAAGAACTCCGATTTCTCGCATCGAAGAACTTGAAGAACTCATTTTATATTTTTTTTTTGGTGGAAGATGGCTACAGATGATTTTATGAAACTAAATTGAGCTTGTTGTTTATTATTTATAAGGGTTGGGTGCATCATAATTTTCCCGCCATTTGAAGAGGAAGAAGGTAATTTTCCCTCCTTTTATACCTAGCAGACTTTGACTAACGTCTGAAAAAAGTGGACTGTTAAGTCCTGACGGACTGGGATCGATTTGACAACAAAAAATTAAAAAAAGGACCATAAATGTGATGCCTGTGACCAAATGTGGGAAACGTAAAAAGTTTTGGGACCAAATTTACAATTTTTCTCTGTCAAAAAAGAAAAGAACGATGAACTCCACAAGAACATTAATAAAACTTGTTTTGTTTTAAACAAAAATAAATGAGTTTGTGGAGTTATAAATAATACTTGTTTTGGACATATATAATTTTAAAAATACTACTAAATAAATATTATTTTTGACAGATTGAGTGTAAAAATATGGATGCCATTTTGAAATAATTATTATGTAATTTATTATTGTTGTACATTCCATATACATACTTTAACGATAAAAATATAAATTATTAAATTTTATTTTATTGTACAAATTTTTATTTATTTAATCATCGATGTATAAGTATCATGCTACGAATACACAATACCAAAACTCCAGGTTTTCCCAAAAAAAAAAAA